AAATGTCAGGGTGTTTGCGTGAGTGACTGCATGTTTCTGTCACGCCGGGGATGGAGAAAGACCAAATGTGAGTAAAGATGAGACGCCAACGCGGGTCGCGAGTCAGAGGACGCGTCAGTTCCTCACCAGACGTCAGCAGCAACATGGAAGATGATACGCAGCGAGTGTAGGACGATATTAGCGCCTTTCACTCAGAGTGTGAACACGCCACACAGGCCTGACTCCTCTTTACAATAAACTGACACTTAAGAGTTACTTGTAAACGTGTTACTCACCCGTTCGAGTGATCATCATTGTTGTGTTTCATGTTAATAACTCAGAGAGGGGGGAGGACAGTAGGCTGCAGTAACGCTCTGCATCCTCAGTTTGTGTGCATGCCACAAGTGTTGAGCAGTGGAGATGAAAGAGCCACTCACAGAGTGAAACGTACCCTCTCACACCTCCAGTGAACCTGGAGCTAAAGCTGCCGAGGAAGCAGAAACACATCAGATTATTCAAATTACAGTCAGAGAACGGGATCAGCCCCCGCTCGGAGACACGAATCTGAACACGCTAACGTGGTTTTCATCTCCAGGGATTCACAAGTTTATGCTGTAACCCACAAGTTATTGTTCCTGTGGGGCAGCGGCGCTGCATACGGCACGGGCCGAAGGTTTGACAGCACAAAGCTGCTGAGCAAACTCGCCTCCACATGGATGCTGAGGCTGTTTTTCACCCTCCACAACAAAACTGCAGCTTAATGAAGCATCAAGATCTTTGCGTCGTGTCCTCACCACAGACATGAAAGATGATGCTTTTCCTGCTCTGACCTTACAGCGTCCACTCAGACTTCTACTTACAGACAGACTGCACCTGCAGCCGTTACACAAACAACGAAACACGTTATTTGCCATTATTCACCCATTTTATCGACACATAAAGTGTACACCTGACTAAAATAAGACTGGCTCTGCTGCGTTTGATGACTTTGTTGTGGATTGAGAATTTATCCCAGTCAAAGTGAAGCAGACTGCACTGAGGCTGAGCTGTTGAACATAATCGTACGTCTCCCAGAACACAAAGCTTTTCATGACGCCCCACGCACACAGAAGGACAAAGCAGTACTGTTGATGCTCTGTGACAAACAGCTTCACCACAGTGAGCTCAAACAGCTGCAGCTGAGACCACAGCGAGACGCTCGGCTGTCCCACAGGTACGACCTGCGACACTGCACACGTGTGAGACGAGGAGCGTTGGCTGAAGACGCACACACAGTAGATTGAGCCAGGGCTGGAGACATTACAGGAGCTTCAACACATGCTAACACCTGGCTGGCATCAGTCTTAATGAAC